ACGTCAGCCAGTGCAGCATTGGCTCTGGAAAGTGCCCTCTTGGCACAGCTGCACAGTGATTTCCCCGAAATGTGGGGCTTATTCAGCTCCCTGAAGGCTGAAACAGCTCTCCAGGGTGACTGTAAGAGCCACTCAGACTTACAGGAATGGAAAGGCAGGAATTTTCTGAACCTGCTGGACATCAGCGTGTGGCCACGGAAGAGGACAGGTCTGATACCTGTGTGGGTAGTTGTAGATCAGTTGTTTCTGCTCGAGCCAGGCTGAAATCAGGGCTGGGTCAGCAGCAGCTGTCTGGTGGCTGAGGGGATTTGCAGGTGGAACTGTCTGTGCTCACTGGCAGTTTGCTCTCGTGACACTTGGTTTCTGCTCGGGAGGCTCTGGCAGTAGCAGTTTGTGTTTGGAGCTGGGGATTGTGAAACTTGCTTTGAGAGCTTTGCAAGATTTTTTTCTTGAAAGTGGGCTATTGTATTTCCATCTGGCTGTGGTATCTCTGTTTCAGGAGTGTGCTAAGGTATTTCCTGAAATCTGAGTGTGGTGTTGGTGGAGACTGTGAGCACAGTGAAAGCCTCTGGGCAGGAAGGAGTTGGGGGGCCAAGAAATTGCAGGCCTGAAGCTGTTAAACATGAGCAAATACCCCCAGAGAGGAGAAAGAACAATTAAATGCCTTCCTTGCCAAGGGAGTTGGATCTCATCTGTGCCCAGGCTGTACCCTGGAGTTCTAATGGGCAAGGGAGGAGGCCTGGGGCAGATAAAACTTTAGTCCCTGCTCCCAGCCCTGCAGTCTCTTCTTCTGCACTTGCTGTCTGTGTGTGGGGTTCACTCCAGGAGATGTGGCTGTCTGGGAGGTCAGGGTTTGGATTTCCTTCCTCCTGCAGCGCTGGGTCTGCAAACCCAGGGAGTGCCCCTGGAAGAGGGGCTCAGGGACACTTGATTTCCTGTCACTGCTGCATCCCTTGGGTGCACTTGGTGCTGGCTTTCCTTTCTCTGGCCTCCATCCTGAACAAAAAGGCTTTCCAAGGGCTTGTGTCAATGGTGTTGTTTTAAGCAAGACTTGCTGGCTGGCTGGAGAAGTGAAAACAAAGCTCTCAGTACAGAAGTGGTTTGTGATAAAACCTCCTTAAGTGACAAGTGGGAAAAGGCTTATGGGTCCCTCCTCTGCTGTGTGCTCCCTCCAAGACAAGACTGTGATGTTAAGTAATGCTTCTGCTCTGCCCAGCTGTTACCATGGCAAACAGCCACTCAGACACCACGGGAAGGGTTTTTGGTCTGCAGTGGCAGTGGTTGGTAACTCCTTTGCTGCTGCCTCCTCTTGTGTGCTCCAGACCCTGGGATAGGATGGGATGGGCTGGGATGGGCTGGCTCTGGCATCAAAGCCCTTGTGCTGCAATCCTTGTAGACCCAGTGAAGCACTGCAGTAAAGGGGCACTGCAGTTTAAGGTCATAATTTTAGTTTATACCAAACCAGGTGAAAAGCACAGCTCATTCCTTTCCCTCATGGAGCTAATGATTAACGTATCAATTAGGCATGAGAAGAAACAAAATGTGTATGCTTAAGATAAAGCAGACTGTACATGAAATGAGAAGGTATTGTAGTATTTGTTTTAAAAACAAAGTGGGAGTTATTTGCACTGGATTGTGCAGGCCAGTGCTGTGTGATTACAGGGAGTGCTACCCTTTTGGGGTGATTCATTGTGGTCTAGGCTCTTTAAGGCTGATTAGAAGGTGCGAGGGTGTTCTCAGCTTATACCCTCTCCCATCCTGTTTTAGAAAAAAGCAATGGAAGCATCAAAACTTGAGGCTAGAACTGAGTGCTGTCTCAGAGTGCCTCTGAGAGAAATCACCCTCATTTCGCATCTTTGGGACCACCAGGTCCAAAGGGTTAATGGGATCCTGCTCATAGCGGTGAGGACCCTGTGTGCCTGGAGATGGTTGGAGTGCCTGGCCTTAGGCAAAAGAGAGGTACAGGGCAGCTGATGGAGTCCCCAGTACAGCTCCCCACAGCAAACTGGGTTGCTGTAACATGCAGGGACTGCGGCTTCAGATAAGACTCACACAAAACCCGCAGTTCCCTTCGCTGGCAGATTTTGGATGGGGTTTTGTTGGCAAAGCTATTCCAGTGGGAAACCTGATCTCCGTCAGTGGAATCCTGCTGGTTACAGCGAACTGGGAAGCCGTGGGGTGACTTGCATCAGTAACATGCAGTGCAAGACTTCCCAACAGAATGATTTTAGGAGGTTTGGGGTGCTGTTACACTGTCCTTTCATGTGCTGTTGACAGGGGATCCTCTGTGTTTATAAAGCACTCCTGCACGGGCTGAGGGAGTGTGTGAAGGTGCTGCCATGTGCTCTTGATGTCCTTGGGTAGTTGTGTCACTCTGTTGGTGCTCTGAAGCCAACACTCAGGTGCAGTGTCCAAAATGAGCAGGTTGGTGTAGGATGTCTCCAGCCGAGTGAGAGGCTGGGCTGGGAGCAGTTCATCCAACCTGCCTTGGAGCTGGTTTTTACTCTGTGCACTCTGGTAGCTGTAGGTGAACAGTGAACCACCCTTCACCTGCTCTGCTCCTCTCCTCTCCTCTGCAAACCCCACACCCAAGGGGTTAAAGAGAAAAGCTCTTCAGTATTAATTCTCTATAACTATGGTTAAAGTCCCTCTGGCAATTGGTGTGGGACATGCAGCTCCTGAAGCATTGATGAGGCTTCAGAGAAAGCTTTATTAAACACAAATTGAGAGGGATGTGTGGTTGTTTCTATTCAGAGTCTTGCCCAGATGCTCTCCAAGTCTGAAAGCTTCCAGTGTTGATGGTGTGTGCTCTCAGAGCACAGCAGTGGTTGCTCCAGCTCCCCCTTGAGACTTGCTCTCTCTGGAGAGGAGCTCTGCGCTGGAAGGCAGTCTACTTCAGTGTACTTGTACTTCAGGTGTTGTCTTTGAGGCATTCCTTGAACTTGAGAGGTGAGTGGGTTGGGTAAAGTACCACAGCCCCCCTCCATGGAGAAAAACACAGCTTTTTTGCAGATGCTTGTGCCACAACGTGCTGCTGGTTTAAATGACTTCCAGCTTTTAGCAGAAGAGAGGGAATGAACACGGTCTCTTTTCAGTGCTGTTCCACTGTTTCTGACAGAAAGGCACACCCCAAACTTACGGTGAGTCCTGGGAAGGCGTTGACACAGCTGCTGTCCCCTGCCCTGTCCCAGTCCTGCCCCCAGCTGTGCCTGTGCCTTGGCCAGCTCAGGGCAGCCCTTTCCAGCACAAGCCACAGCAGAGGTACTGGAGGGCTGGCAGGGCAGGGGGGGAATGCCCATGGATGCTGTGACCCACTTGTGCAGAGAGGCAGCGTCCAACACGAGTCAGCTGAGCCGCCGTGGTGAGAGCACCCGGCTCCCACTGCACAGCCCTGAGCCTGGAAAAGCCATTTCCTTTAATATTTCAGCAAGTGTTTCATAACAGCACTTTGTACACGCCTTGAACATGCTTTGTCGGCATGTCCCTGACACTTGGCTGTAGCTTAAAACTTCTAATGGATTATAAATACTTGAGGCAAATGATGTGCCTGCAGTCCTGGGCAGCTGATGGTAAATAACTGGTACAGGGCAGCCTGCTTCTGCTGTGTGGGTCTGGATGTCTCTGGGCACTGGGACTCTCAGTTTTGG